ATACACTCACTATCGATAGGTAAAACGTCACCGGCAGCGTGTATTCACTCACTATCGATAACTAAAACTTCCCCGGCAGCGTGTATACACTCACTATTGATTGGTGAAACGTCCCAGGCAGCGTGTATACACTCACTATCGATAGGTAAAACGTCCCCGGCAGCGCGTGTATACACTCACAATCGATAGGCAAAACGTCCCCGGCAGCGTGTATACACTCACTATCGATAGGTGAAACGTCCCAGGCAGCGTGTATACACTCAATATCGACAGGTAAAACGTCCCTGGGATCGTGTATACACTCACTATCGATAGGTAAAACGTCCCCGTCAGCGTGTATTCACTCACTATCGATGGGTAAAACGTCCCCGGCAGCGTGCATACACTCACTATCGATAGGTAAAACGTCCCAGGCGGTGTGTTTACACTCACAATCGATAGGCAAAACGTCCCCGGCAGCGTGTATACACTCACTATCGATAGGTAGAAACGCCCCGGCAGCGTGTATTCACTCACTATCGATAGGTAAAACGTCCCCGGCAGCGTGTATTCATTCACTATCGATAGGTGAAACGTCACCGGTAGCGTGTATTCACTCACTATCGATAGGAGAAACGTCACCGGCAGCGTGTAATCACTCACTATTGATAGGTTAAACGTCACCGGCTGCGTGTATTCACTCACTATCGATAGGGAAAACGTCCCCGGCAGCGTGTAATCACTCTCTATTGATATGTTAAACGTCACCGGCAGCGTGTATTCACTCACTATCGATAGGTAAAACGTCACCGGCAGCGTGTTAACACTCTCTATTGATAGGTTAAACGTCACCGGCAGCGTGTATTCACTCGCGATCGATAGGTGAAACGTCACCGGCAGCGTGTAATCACTCACTATTGATAGGTTAAACGTCGCCGGCAGCGTGTATTCACTCACTATCGATAGGTGAAACGTCTCCGGTAGCGTGTATACACTCACGATCGATAGATAAAACGTCCCTGGCACCGTGTATAAACTCACAATCGATAGGTAAAACGTAACCGGTAACGTGTATTCACTCACTATTGATAGGTTAAACGTCACCGGCAGCGTGTATTCATTCACTATCGATAGGTGAAACGTCACCGGCAGCGTGTATTCACTCACTATCGATAGGTGAAACGTCACCGGTAGCGTGTATACACTCACGATCGATAGATAAAACGTCCCCGGCAGCGTGTATAAACTCACAATCGATAGGTAAAACGTCACCGGTAACGTGTATTCACTCACTATTGATAGGTTAAACGTCACCGGCAACGTGTATTCACTCACTATCGATAGGTGAACCTCACCGGCAGCATGTATTCACTCACTATCGATAGGTAAAACGTCACCGGCAGCGAGTATACACTCACTACCGATAGGTAAAACGTAACCGGCAGCGTGTATACACTCACTATCGATGGGTAAAACGTCCCTTGGAGCGTGTATGCACTCACTATCGATAACTTAAACGTCCCCGGCAGCGCGTGTATACACTCACAATCGATAGGTAAACCGTCACCGGCAGCGTGTATTCACTCACAACCGATAGATAAAACGTCACCGGCAGCGTGTATTCACTCACAACCGATAGATAAAACGTCACCGGCAGCGTGTATTCACTCACGATCGATAGGTGAAACGTAACAGGCAGCGTGTATACACTCACTATCGATTGGGAAAACGTCCCCGGGAGCGTGCATACTATCGATAGGTAAAACGTCCCCGGCAGCGTGTATTCACTCACAATCGATAGATAAAACGTCACCGGCAGCGTGTATTCACTCACGATCGATAGGTGAAACGTAACAGGCAGCGTGTATACACTCACTATCGATGGGGAAAACGTCCCTTGGAGCGTGTATGCACTCACTATCGATAACTTAAACGTCACCGGCAGCGTGTATTCACTCACGATCGATAGGTGAAACGTAACAGGCAGCGTGTATACACTCACTATCGATAGGGAAAACGTCACCGGCAGCGTGTATTCACTCACTATCGATAGGTAAAACGTCACCGGCAGCGTGTATACACTCACTATCGATTGGTAAAACGTCCCCGGGAGCGTGCATACACTCAATATCGATAGGTCAAACGTCACCGGCAACGTGTATTCACTCACTATTGATAGGTTAAATGTCACCGGCAGCGTGTATTCACTCACAATCGATAGATAAAACGTCACCGGCAGCGTGTATTCACTCACTATCGATAGGTGAAACGTCACCGGCAGAGTGTATTCACTCACTATCGATAGGTAAAACGTCCCCGGCAGCGTTTATTCACTCATTATCGATAGGTAAAACGTGCCTGGGATCGTGTATACACTCAATATCGATAGATAAGTAACCGGCAGCGTGTATACACTCACTATCGATTGGTAAAACGTCCCCGGGAGCGTGCATACACTCAATATCGATAGGGCAAACGTCACCGGCAACGTGTATTCACTCACCATTGATAGGTTAAATGTCACCGGCAGCGTGTATTCACTCACAATCGATAGATAAAACGTCACCGGCAGCGCGTATTCACTCACTATCGATAGGTGAAACGTCACCGGCAGCGTGTATTCTCTCACTATCGATAGGTGAAACGTAACAGGCAGCGTGTATACACTCACTATCGATAGGTGAACCGTCTCCGGCAGAGTGTATTCACTCACTATCGATAGGTAAAACGTCCCCGGCAGCGTTTATTCACTCATTATCGATAGGTGAAACGTCACCGGCAGCGTGTATACACTCACTATCGATTGGTAAAACGTCCCCGGGAGCGTGTATACACTCAATATCGATAGATAAAACGTCACCGGCAGCGTGTATACACTCACTATCGATAGGTGAAACGTCACCGGCAGCGTGTAATCACTCACTATTGATAGGTTAAACGTCACCGGCAACGTGTATTCACTCACTATTGATAGGTTAAATGTCACCGGCAGCCTGTATTCACTCACAATCGATAGGTAAAACGTCACCGGCAGCGTTTATTCACTCATTATCGATAGGTAAAACGTCCCTGGGATCGTGTATACACTCAATATCGATAGATAAAACGTCACCGGCAGCGTGTATTCACTCACTATCGATAGGTAAAACGTCACCGGCAGCGTTTATTCACTCATTATCGATAGGTAAAACGTCCCTGGGATCGTGTATACACTCACTATCGATAGGTGAAACGTCACCGGCAGAGTGTATTCACTCACTATCGATAGGTAAAACGTCCCCGGCAGCGTGTATACACTTACTATCGATGGGTAAAAGTCCCTGGGAGCGTGTATGCACTCACTATCGATAACTTAAACGTCCCCGGCAGCGCGTGTATACACTCAATATCGATAGGTAAAACGTCACCGGCAGCGTTTATTCACTTACTATCGATGGGTAAAACGTCCCTGGGAGCGTGTATGCACTCACTATCGATAACTTAAACGTCACCGGCAGCGTGTATTCACTCACAATCGATAGGTAAAACGTCCCCGGCAGCGTGTATACACTCAATATCGATAGGTAAAACGTCCCTGGGATCGTGTACACACTCACTATCGATAGGTGAAACGCCCCCGGCAGCGTGTATACTCTTACTATCGATAGGTAAAACGTCCCCGGTAGCGTGATATGAAATTTACAATTTCGTCTCATCTTTGTACAGGTAAACAAAACAAAACGCTAACTCAGTCATAGCTTGACAAAGGGGGCTAGTTATTATGGAAAAGTTGCGAAACGTTTAATACGTCCATTGTTTGTGTGCAAAGTAAAACTTTGATATTTAAATATCATATACTATTTATTATGAAATACATAACGTACGTATAGATGTTACATTATGCTATGCATTGTTATAGCCTTAGTATAATTGTACTTCTACCGTTTCATAATCTATAACTTTCATAATTATTTGTTTTATAATAATAATATTAATAATTCGAGGTTTTTATTTTTCGCCTTATCACAACCTAGTTCGTAGGTCGTCTGTAAGTGGTTCACAAATTATCATCCGTATTATGATATAATAATTATGCATGATATATAGTTATATATTAATTGTGCATATATCATACATTACAACAAACACTTATATAGTAATACATGTTCTATACCTTATCTATGATGCAATTATAACTGTTGTGTCTTACGTTGCTATAACGTTAACGCTGATAAAGCTGTATATTTATTCATTTACATTGTCATTTATGAGTCGGCACGACACGTTTGTGTCAACAGCATACACATAGGCATGCTCTCCCTCCTGATTCACTTTCTTGTCTGCTTCGTCGTTAAAGTGAAATATTAAAACCAGCATGTTTGTACACGGAATGCATAACTGAACCCATTATAATGTTATAATGTGGCATGATAAAAGTGCAAATGAAAATTACTGTATACCGACAAATTGTCACTGAGTCAAACTTTCGCCTATCGCACATGAAATCAATTTTCGCCCAGTGTTTATTTCGCCCTTTAAATTTAATCTGATGTTTATTATGCTGTTTTATACATACTTGCTGTAATGATAGTTTTATCCTCATTACAGAGGGTGAACAAAGCGAAAATTAAACTGCAGCGACAATGTCTCGGCAACAAGTAGGAAAGATTCTCTGTTCTTAAAATATTTTTGTGATGTTTTTTTTTCATATATACAGAATAAATGGGTGTACGTGTATATATATATACAGAATTAATGGGTGTACGTGCATATACAGAATTAATGGGTGTACGTGTATATACATAATTAATGGGTGTACGTGCATCTACAGAATTAATGGGTGTACGTGTATATACAGAATTAATGGGTGTACTTGCATATACAGAATTAATTGGTGTACGTGTATATGTACAGAGTTAATGGTTGTACGTGTATATACAGAATTAATGGGTGTATATGTATATATACAGAATTAATGGGTGTACGTGTTTATACAGAATTAATGGGTTTCCGTGTATAAACAGAAATAAAGGTATACGTACGTAATACAACATCCCAATGACCGTACCCAGGTAACGAGGTGCTTTACTTTTGTATCGAAGTTCAAAATACTGAAACAATTAAACAGTTATAACAATACAATCTGCTGACGCTATAACACAGATAACGATGAAATGAAGAAACTGTTCATTGACATTTTACCGTACATTATCCCCTTCATATAATTGTTTTAAATGTAATATTTCATTATCTTTTCGACAAAAGTGAAAAATACCACAATTAAAATACCAATGAGAACGACAAAATGAGCAATAGGCATTGCAGATGTCTGTTCAGTTCCAATGGAAGAAGGAACAAGATTTTGGGTATTATTTTCTACTTCTCTCACAAAAAAATACCAAGATATCATATTGTTCGTGTTTTCTATTAACAAAATATTTACAGCCACGGACCAAAAGTATTTCATAGATAACCTAGGTTTACTGCACAATGCATGGAATTCGATTAGCCAATCATTACGGTTAAATTCTGTTGGTTTATAAGGTAGCTAGTAATAAATTCTAGACTAGTGACTAAACATTTCAAAGTGAGGGAACACCAATGTGAAATATAGTTTATCGATGCACGAAGTCAAACAAAGCAAGCATTTCACTGCATCCTTTGACCATTTAGGAATCAACAGAGGTGTTACAGGTAAAAAGAAGAAGGAAAAAACAAGTCTTCAGTATTTTGAAACATGTGATGAATACAACGAAACGTAATAGGTAGGTGTCACTCAAACCCCCATGATGTTACAATCATCTTCTGGCTATAATAACCTTTTTAATGAAATTTAGTATTTCCTGTCAACCGTACTGGAAGAAAGTAAGTCCGGCGAAAAGGTTGGTATCATTTTTTTCTGTATATTTATATATGCTTTTGTAACCTAGAACGATAATTAGTTATGTGCTGTATAGCGTCTTAGAGTAACACTGCAAACTTAACGCATTGAAATGATGTGTTAACATCCCATTTACTCGGATAAATCGTAACCTACTGTTGTTTGCAAAATGGATGTGTCGTGATAAATATAAAGAAATCCGTTTAATACCAACTTAGATAGTTAATATGCCAACAGGTTATCTAAACCTCCTAATTTATATCTATCAAAGATGGTGTCGGACATTCGGAATTCTCATGAGAATAGAAAGACGGTGAAGTATCATAACTCTACCTTTGAGGAAGATGTATGTCCAGTTGTTTATTTATATATTTTTAAGAAGATTTTTACTACTGATGATAATAAATACGACTATTATACCAATCAGGACTTGGTGTAGCGTTTTATGTATGCTACATTTACACGTTTGTGGTTTGATAAATGCCCGTTAGGGTTTAATTCTTTGTTTTATTGCGACAAATGGCTGAAGTCATTTTACCTCAAATACACTGGTAAGCTTGAGCGGGTGGAACAGTGGAGCTGTCACTCGTGAGGATACAACCATCGCTACCATTAACCCAACACTTGTCCATAAAAGATCTCCTCCGTGGATATACGCTTCAGCAGGGAAGCCCAGAACCAGTATGGACGACTCAAAGGAAACGACAAGGGAAACGGCGACCGGTAACATCTTCAGACGACGATTCCCGACCAGATACTCCAGGGTAGTCTTCTGTCCCCCACCGGAACAGGCGGAGTACACACCTTAAGAAATGCGTCATTATACATGTTCTGTCTTTGCGTATTGCAGAGTTATCTTCTCTTGTGAGCGGGTATTGATTGTTACGTCATTGGTTTGAGAGAGGAACGTCATCATTTTTTGAGAAAACGATGTAATTTTCTCACACAAACCAATGACGTAACAATCAATACCTGCTCACAAATAAAGATAACTTTGAAATATGCAAAGACGAAATAATGCAAACGTCATATGAAGGTCAAATACACATCTTATATTAAAAAAAAACCAGTTGTAGTATAGGTAAATTAGGGACAGTTCGCTTTCTAATTTTTATCTAACGTGTTATAGATAGGGATATGGGGATCATTCCAGACTCACCTATCCCGATAGAGAACGCTATCATCCCAGCGAATATGACATAGTCAGCAACATGGAAACCAAATTCTGCGGCTAGAATGAAAAGTGTTCTACTAAAAACATATAGGTTAGCTCATTGAAATGTGTGTGTGTCTCATATATAACGAACACCATCCTAAATAGCATCCTCTCGAACACAAACAATAACAAAGACAACTAAACCCAGCCTGTTAACTTCTAGCATATTTATCGTATTTCAAAGAGATAGCATTAACGATGAGAGTAAGATGCATATCAGACATGAATTATAACATATGTAGGAATATGTGGATTGGAAGAAATGTTAGCTTAGATTATGATCGATTCCAATGCATGTATGGTCGGTTGCCGTCCTTTTCATAAGTATAAATAATTGTTTTGTTTTTATCTTTAAATCTGAACCAGAATAATTCACTTTGTTGTGTCAAGTACTTGTGGATCATCTTGAAATCAGATAGTACAAATGGTAGCTTAAGTTTGTGTACTCACATGAATTTAAGTAGCATCATAGTTCTAGTATTAACAAAGAGATCTGTTCGATTTAAACATGATTGACAACAATGGGTTTTTAATGAACAATCTCATATACAACATCTATCATACAACAGTTAAAATGCACTTACACATGTTGGCTTTCCAATCCTTCTCAAGTAAGTAAAGTATCTTCACAATCCCTGAAAACCCTTCTGCGACTGATAGAAGGTCATACAATATTCTGTTACATGACTAAGCCTGCATTACCTTTCTAGATATTATTGATGTCACGTAGCCTGTGACGTCCATATTGTTTTTTTCTTCTTTTTACATAATAATGTGCATTAAGTTATACACTAGTAGATAGTTTAAGTGATGGCGTGTATTTTTATCTATGCTCCTTTATGGAAATTTCACTATACTGTAGAATAATGCTTACTTTACAGTAGGCGACGTAGCATCAGGCTCCATAATTGAATTTCACTAAACTGTATAGTATGCGATGTCGTACTATGCTCCATAATTGAATTTCACTATACTGTAGAATAATGCTTATTATACATTAGGCCATGTCGCATTATGCTCCATAATGGAATTTTACTATACTGTAGAATAATGCTTACTATACAGTAGGCCATGTCGCACTGTGCTCCATAATGGAATTTCACTATACTGTAGACTAATGCTTACTATACAGTAGGCCATGTCGCACTGTGCTCCATAATGGAATTTCACTATACTGTAGAATAATGCTTACTATACAGTAGGTGATGTCGCTCTATGCTCCATAATGGAATTTCACTATACTGTAGAATAATGCTTACTCTAGAGTAGGCGATGTCGCATCTTGTTACATAATGGAATTTCACTATACTGTAGAATAATGCTTACTATACAGTAGGCGATATCGCACTATGCTCCATAATGGAATTTCACTATACTGTATAATAATGCTTACTATACAGTAGGTGATGTCCCACTATGCTCCATAATGCAATTTTATTATACTGCAGAATAATGCTTACTATACAGTAGGCCATGTCTAACTATGCTCCATAATGGAATTTCACTATACTGTAGACTAATGCTTATTATATATTTGGCCATTCGCACTGTGCTCCATAATGGAATTTCACAATACTGTAGAATAATGCTTATTATACAGTAGGCCATGTCGCAATGTGCTCCATAATGGAATTTTACTATACTGTAGAATAATGCTTACTATACAGTAGGTGATATCGCACTATGCTCCATAATGGAATTTCACTATACTGTATAATAATGCTTACTATACAGTAGGTGATGTCCCACTATGCTCCATAATGCAATTTTATTATACTGCAGAATAATGCTTACTATACAGTAGGCCATGTCTAACTATGCTCCATAATGGAATTTCACTATACTGTAGACTAATGCTTATTATATATTTGGCCATTCGCACTGTGCTCCATAATGGAATTTCACAATACTGTAGAATAATGCTTATTATACAGTAGGCCATGTCGCAATGTGCTCCATAATGGAATTTTACTATACTGTAGAATAATGCTTACTATACAGTAGGTGATATCGCACTATGCTCCATAATGGAATTTCACTATACTGTATAATAATGCTTACTATACAGTAGGTGATGTCCCACTATGCTCCATAATGCAATTTTATTATACTGCAGAATAATGCTTACTATACAGTAGGCCATGTCTAACTATGCTCCATAATGGAATTTCACTATACTGTAGACTAATGCTTATTATATATTTGGCCATTCGCACTGTGCTCCATAATGGAATTTCACAATACTGTAGAATAATGCTTATTATACAGTAGGCCATGTCGCAATGTGCTCCATAATGGAATTTTACTATACTGTAGAATAATGCTTACTATACAGTAGGTGATATCGCACTATGCTCCATAATGGAATTTCACTATACTGTATAATAATGCTTACTATACAGTAGGTGATGTCCCACTATGCTCCATAATGCAATTTTATTATACTGCAGAATAATGCTTACTATACAGTAGGCCATGTCTAACTATGCTCCATAATGGAATTTCACTATACTGTAGACTAATGCTTATTATATATTTGGCCATTCGCACTGTGCTCCATAATGGAATTTCACAATACTGTAGAATAATGCTTATTATACAGTAGGCCATGTCGCAATGTGCTCCATAATGGAATTTTACTATACTGTAGAATAATGCTTACTATACAGTAGGTGATATCGCACTATGCTCCATAATGGAATTTCACTATACTGTATAATAATGCTTACTATACAGTAGGTGATGTCCCACTATGCTCCATAATGCAATTTTATTATACTGCAGAATAATGCTTACTATACAGTAGGCCATGTCTAACTATGCTCCATAATGGAATTTCACTATACTGTAGACTAATGCTTATTATATATTTGGCCATTCGCACTGTGCTCCATAATGGAATTTCACAATACTGTAGAATAATGCTTATTATACAGTAGGCCATGTCGCAATGTGCTCCATAATGGAATTTTACTATACTGTAGAATAATGCTTACTATACAGTAGGTGATATCGCACTATGCTCCATAATGGAATTTCACTATACTGTATAATAATGCTTACTATACAGTAGGTGATGTCCCACTATGCTCCATAATGCAATTTTATTATACTGCAGAATAATGCTTACTATACAGTAGGCCATGTCTAACTATGCTCCATAATGGAATTTCACTATACTGTAGACTAATGCTTATTATATATTTGGCCATTCGCACTGTGCTCCATAATGGAATTTCACAATACTGTAGAATAATGCTTATTATACAGTAGGCCATGTCGCAATGTGCTCCATAATGGAATTTTACTATACTGTAGAATAATGCTTACTATACAGTAGGTGATATCGCACTATGCTCCATAATGGAATTTCACTATACTGTATAATAATGCTTACTATACAGTAGGTGATGTCCCACTATGCTCCATAATGCAATTTTATTATACTGCAGAATAATGCTTACTATACAGTAGGCCATGTCTAACTATGCTCCATAATGGAATTTCACTATACTGTAGACTAATGCTTATTATATATTTGGCCATTCGCACTGTGCTCCATAATGGAATTTCACAATACTGTAGAATAATGCTTATTATACAGTAGGCCATGTCGCAATGTGCTCCATAATGGAATTTTACTATACTGTAGAATAATGCTTACTATACAGTAGGTGATATCGCACTATGCTCCATAATGGAATTTCACTATACTGTATAATAATGCTTACTATACAGTAGGTGATGTCCCACTATGCTCCATAATGCAATTTTATTATACTGCAGAATAATGCTTACTATACAGTAGGCCATGTCTAACTATGCTCCATAATGGAATTTCACTATACTGTAGACTAATGCTTATTATATATTTGGCCATTCGCACTGTGCTCCATAATGGAATTTCACAATACTGTAGAATAATGCTTATTATACAGTAGGCCATGTCGCAATGTGCTCCATAATGGAATTTTACTATACTGTAGAATAATGCTTACTATACAGTAGGTGATATCGCACTATGCTCCATAATGGAATTTCACTATACTGTATAATAATGCTTACTATACAGTAGGTGATGTCCCACTATGCTCCATAATGCAATTTTATTATACTGCAGAATAATGCTTACTATACAGTAGGCCATGTCTAACTATGCTCCATAATGGAATTTCACTATACTGTAGACTAATGCTTATTATATATTTGGCCATTCGCACTGTGCTCCATAATGGAATTTCACAATACTGTAGAATAATGCTTATTATACAGTAGGCCATGTCGCAATGTGCTCCATAATGGAATTTTACTATACTGTAGAATAATGCTTACTATACAGTAGGTGATATCGCACTATGCTCCATAATGGAATTTCACTATACTGTATAATAATGCTTACTATACAGTAGGTGATGTCCCACTATGCTCCATAATGCAATTTTATTATACTGCAGAATAATGCTTACTATACAGTAGGCCATGTCTAACTATGCTCCATAATGGAATTTCACTATACTGTAGACTAATGCTTATTATATATTTGGCCATTCGCACTGTGCTCCATAATGGAATTTCACAATACTGTAGAATAATGCTTATTATACAGTAGGCCATGTCGCAATGTGCTCCATAATGGAATTTTACTATACTGTAGAATAATGCTTACTATACAGTAGGTGATATCGCACTATGCTCCATAATGGAATTTCACTATACTGTATAATAATGCTTACTATACAGTAGGTGATGTCCCACTATGCTCCATAATGCAATTTTATTATACTGCAGAATAATGCTTACTATACAGTAGGCCATGTCTAACTATGCTCCATAATGGAATTTCACTATACTGTAGACTAATGCTTATTATATATTTGGCCATTCGCACTGTGCTCCATAATGGAATTTCACAATACTGTAGAATAATGCTTATTATACAGTAGGCCATGTCGCAATGTGCTCCATAATGGAATTTTACTATACTGTAGAATAATGCTTACTATACAGTAGGTGATATCGCACTATGCTCCATAATGGAATTTCACTATACTGTATAATAATGCTTACTATACAGTAGGTGATGTCCCACTATGCTCCATAATGCAATTTTATTATACTGCAGAATAATGCTTACTATACAGTAGGCCATGTCTAACTATGCTCCATAATGGAATTTCACTATACTGTAGACTAATGCTTATTATATATTTGGCCATTCGCACTGTGCTCCATAATGGAATTTCACAATACTGTAGAATAATGCTTATTATACAGTAGGCCATGTCGCAATGTGCTCCATAATGGAATTTTACTATACTGTAGAATAATGCTTACTATACAGTAGGTGATATCGCACTATGCTCCATAATGGAATTTCACTATACTGTATAATAATGCTTACTATACAGTAGGTGATGTCCCACTATGCTCCATAATGCAGTTTTATTATACTGCAGAATAATGCTTACTATACAGTAGGCCATGTCTAACTATGCTCCATAATGGAATTTCACTATACTGTAGAATAATGCTTATTATATATTTGGCCATTCGCACTGTGCTCCATAATGGAATTTCACTATACTGTAGAATAATGCTTATTATACAGTAGGCCATGTCGCAATGTGCTCCATAATGGAATTTTACTATACTGTAGAATAAT